GAGAGAAGGATGGGAGGTGGGCAGGGCCCTTTTAAAAGGGAACAAAGTGAATGTGCACAGGTGGTGTGCTCTTAGTGGTTGCAGCTGAGGGCGTGTCCTGTCAGAACCCCAAGGACGGGCCAGTACAGATACCTGACTACTAACATCCACCTTGGCTGTTTGGGCTGTGCTTTCCCCATATCCCTTTATGGGTCCTTATCATTCATGACTTTGATTGTCACAGGCAAGCGGGGACTCAAAGGAAAATTGTTCAAAAGACAAGGCACTGCATAGTTAGGAAACAGGAAAGCCCAGCCTGCCTGAAGGGACGACCTCACCAACTAAGCTTCCAACTTGTGAAAAGGAATTTAAAAAATAAGTAACAGCTTTAGGCATGGAAGGAAACCATTAACAAAGGAAACTGATGCAAAGGAATCTGAATGGAGAGGCCGAGTTGCAGCCCCATCAAGCAGCTTCAGCCTCGAGGTTTGGCCTTAGAGTCAAGTAGGGGTTGTGGAATCTCCCTCTCAGCTAAGGAAAGCTGAGACCAGGCATGCACCAGGCCCAGACAGGCCATTCCATCAAACTGTGATTTCCTTGGAGACCCCAGGATGTTAGCGATGCCAGGGAAGAGCTGCTAACAAGGCGTGGGGCCACCTCAAACAAGAGAAGTGTGATGCAGTCAACGGAGCTGAAAGGAGTTGGGGTTCTGAAGATGGCTTTGACATCAGATGCAGAATCTTGAGTTTGCCCAGGGTTTTGGTCTTGCCTCGGTCCAGTGTTTCCTCCATGTTGGAATGTTAACTTGTATTGTTTATTTTTATTTTACAGGGGATTGCAGTTACGAGATTGCCATGGGTCTCTGAAGAGACCTTAAACTGAACTAAACAGTGTTGACTGTGGTAGCCCATAGGGACTTTGGGAGTTGGACTGAAAGCATCTCTACATTACGATGTGGCCACAAGTCTGTGGGGGCCAGACAGTGGAATGTGGTGGCTTGAGTAAGAATGGCCCCCATCAGCTCATATATTTGAGTGCTTAGTCATCAGAAAGTGACACTATTTGAGATGGATTAGAAGGAGTGGCCCTATTGGAAGAAGTGTGTCACTAGGGGTGGGCTTTGAGGTTTCAAAAGCCCAAGCCAGAGCCAGTGTGTCTGTCTTCTTGCTGCTGTGGATCCAGATGTAGAACTCTCTCAGCTACTTCTCCAGGCCCATATTTGCCTGTGTGCCACCATGCACCCCCCCCCCACCGTGACGACAACGGTCTACTTCTGAACCGTAAGCCAGCCCCAATTAGATGCTTTTCCTTATGAACACCTGTGGTCATGGTGTCTCTTCACAGCATCAGAACACTAAGGCACCATACTGTTATCATGGTGTAGGTACCTCTGTTTCTTCTCTTAGGGTTCTATGTTGTCATACTGCATATTCTATATGCCTCATAGTGTGTTCTTTTCAAACAGCCAGTGACCTATTAAAAAGATTAAAGTAATGATACTAATTTTAAAATGTACTCGTATAGTTACAAGTTTTTCTCTTCTTTCCTTGTGCAGATCCATTTCTGCTTCTGGAACTACCTATGACGTGGTATCTAACTCCATTAGCTTTTGTCCATATAAAAAGCCTTCTCTTTTCCATGTTTAGTATTTTCCTGTAGAGTACAGTCATCTAAGGAGAGCCTTCCTGTTACTGTCTGTTCTGGTAAGTTCTGTCACATTTAAACACAAGTTAACCCCTGGCTCCTTTCCACTTCTGTGGCTGTAGTTAGATGGAATTTCTGTCTTCAGTTTCAGCTTTGGCCCTTAGATGCTTGGTGCTGTTGGTCTTCGGGGATAATTGGTTAGAGCCAGAACTTCACTGAGAAAGGAAGGCAGGGTTTGAAGGCATCAGAGCATCTCCATGAAAGCGCAGGTGAGAGACGGCAGGTGAAGGCACACACTTCATTATGTTTTACACTTATGCATTTGGTGTGTATATGTGCCCTTGGATACATGGAGGAGTCAGAAGACAACCTGCAGGGGTTGGAGCTCTCCTTTTACCATGTGGGTCCTAGGGTGGCCCTCAGGGTATCAGGGTTGATTGACATTTACCTACTGAGCTATTTCTCTGGACCACAGGCACTAGGAAATTTATATTTACCAGAATCTAACTTTTTCGACCAAAAAAAAAAAAATAGCATTTGCCACAATTAAATAAGATCAATAAAACAATGGAGGAAATAAATGAGGCTAATGCTCAGCACTGCCTTGAGGAGAGGAGAGCTGGACCCCAGGGGCAGCCCATAGGTCCCCCGAGCCTCTCCCTTCCTCATGCTCAGCCCCCTGGCCTGCCTGGTGCTCCCCCATGCTCAGCAGGAGCACTCTGCAGGTTTGCATGGCATATAAACATGCTAGCTCCTCGAAGTCACCTGACTCCCCACCCCACGCCCCCACATCTGAGGAGCAGGGAGAGAAGGCACTTTTGTTAGAAGGTCTGTGGGAAGCAGGCACATCACAGGCTAAGTGTGGCACAGGAAACTGCTCATTTACTGGTCATCAGGTGGCAAAGAGAAAGGAAGAAGAGGGGCTGGATATTCCAGCATCTTCTTCAATAACATGGCAATGATTTCAGACCCCCAGACTGGGCACCAAGCCTGTAAGACACAGGCCTTTGGGAGACATCTAAGACCTAAGCCGTCACAAAGGGAGGGATAGTAGCACTCTGAAGACATCCCTAGGCCTCAACAGAGTCCCTCCTTCACAAACCCAAGAAATAGAAAGTGCTTCCACACGATGGCAGAGCTTAGGTCTGCTCATGCTGACTTCAGAGGCAACAGTTGGGAGCTGCAGATTGACCTGTCCATGCCTGGCATCCTCACTGGACAGCTGAAGCAGGGCTGTGCAGTGAGTGTGTTCAAATTTCCGTTTATACCATGCTAAAAGAGGCGGCCAACCGTGAGGCGATGTAAGCTAGACTTTCCCTCCTGTGTGGGCCCCAACTCAATGTGGGTGACAAGGACATTTTCCTTATGCTGTCTTAGACACCCAACCTAAGAAGAATCGACCCCCCCAAAACACACACACACACACACACACACACACACACACACACACACACACACAAGGAGTCTGGTCCCTGGGTCTCAGTCTCATGGTAGCAGAAGTAAGCAGATGGTTCTCCATGGCTTATTGCCCATTTATCTTGAAGTCATAGCTTAAGCAAAAGCAGATTTTGGACTTAGCATGTCAACACAGGATAAACTTACACGTGGAGTTCAATTCACTAGGTGTCATGTCTACACAGGATGAACTTAGTAGATCGACTCACTCAGTGTGCAGCGGTGACAGAATGTGCTTAGCACATCAGATGTGGGTGGGACGTCACCTTGACAGTTAGCGACCTTACCTGGCTTCACTCACACATGTGACTTTTTCTTTCCAGGGGACTGAGCAGGTGGTGGCCATTTTCTGTGCACTTTGGCCCAGCTCTTCAGTTTCCTGGGTCCATCCTCAGTGAAGATTTACCTATTACCTGTTTGTTCCGACCCTGTCTTGGATTACACAGCCCCAGAACAGGAGTACACTTGTGCTGGTACACACACAATGCAGTCAATACGCTAAGTCTGACCCGTGGGGATCTGTACCTAAGGTGGTTCCCATGGCCGAACCCATGAACAGATGCGGTTACTGGCGGGAAGTCAACCAATGTAGCACCCTGACTTTCCCCACAAATTCGGAAACCCCAAAGCGGGGCCTCATTTTTGTGTGGCAGCGGGGTAACTATCCAGGTTGGATGCCAAGTGGCCCAGGGAGCCTTCACGGGTCAGCATTGTTCCCGAGGCCTGTAAATCCTTGATTCTGCTTAGGTTGACAAATGTCTTTTGTTTCCGTTTGAATGCGAACAAGGGACCTGAATTCAGGCTCTGCTGACTGGACTGTCCTCAGGACAGGACTAGACACGCAGGGGATAGCGTCTGCCTTGCCCTCCTGAGACTGCGCCCACCCTTCTCTACCCACCCTTCTCCACCACTTGGCATATGGCTTTGACAAGGCAGCCAAAGGAAGCTTGTCATTAGCACCAACGAGGCCGCGGTGCATATGGGGACTTGGGCACCCACAGCATCCACGTCTGGAAAGGGCTGGGTCGGGCAGCAATGCTACCCTCACTTTCCTGTCAGTCTCTGGAGAGCAGGGTCATAGGTGCTCCCATGGCCTCTACTAAAACCACTGACCCTAGGCCTGCAGAAGGGACAGCACATGGCGTGTCTTACAGCTGACTGTGTGACTGCCATTATTACACAAAAGCTGTATTTCACTTCACCATACCTTAAGCCACTTTTAGAGACCATTTCTGTACCTTTTAACTTCCAATGGAACACTGCTATTTGCTAAGGTCAAGGGTTGCTAACAAGTTACCCATTACTTTCTGCTCCTATAAGCTATTCTCTGTTATTGTCCACTCATTTTTCTCCATCAGGGGTTCGTCTCTTAGTCAAGATCCTCAGCCTAACTGGTGATTATCTGGTATCATCTAAGAAACTGTTTTCCAGTGACACTCACACCTAGCCAAGGGCCAATGGAGGCAAGCACTGTTAGACGGCTGGGCGGGCTCTAGCAATGCAATGGCTTCTGAGTGGTGCTGTGAGATGCCACCTATTGCCTAAGTGAATGCCTGAATGGCTGACCAGATGCCAAGGCCTGCTGAGTACTGGAGCTCTTCAAAGGGGGAAGGAGTGTGCTTGTCTCTCAAAGCACAAAACCAAAGGTCAGACTAGAAACTTCGCTGGTACCAGTGTCCTTCCCTATAAAAGAAACAGACTTTCTGTCCATCGGTGGCTCCTCATGGAAATGTGGCCTGCCCCCCACTGTTCCCACTCCTATGCAGATTGCAGACAGCAGGACCCTTGGCTAGGGAGTTTATTGGGATCTGCAGGGGGCAGTGTGGAGCCTCAGTTAAAATGAACAATCTGCCACTTAACCACTGTTTCAAGCTGTCACAAGCAGCCATTTTTAAGGTTAAAGTTGCACTAAAAGCGTGTACTGTTGTTGGAGAAATATCATAAAAGATATCTTTAATGTGAACACTACAACATACAATGAAAAACTTTGTACAAGGTGCCACTTCCATCCGGCTGCCCACGCTGACATGGCCCATTTCAGCCAGGCAGCTCTTCCATTCTGCCACCGAATCCTCGGCAGCCCCAAGACTGGCAAACACACACACACACACAAGTAAGATATGCAGATTAGCCTCTCACCAATAAATACAAACAATGCAATCTACTTCCACCTGAGCAAACTGTTTTCACGTAGGAAAAGGCTGTTTCTTCTGGAACCAGAGAGAGCCAGAAAGAACGCCCTGCTTCACAGTGGGACGCGGGGCGTTTTGTGTAAATACAGCATGTTTGGGCCAGGGATACAATTTCTTGTTCAAGAGTTTATTTGCCTTCACACAGGGGTTCCTGCACACATTTCACAGCTGTAGCAGACTGCAATCAGTATTCCAGTTGTGCTTTGAAATCCCAGGTATTTTCCTCAGTGAGTGCAGCACACTCGGTGACTGGCCCTAGGGTTGCGACTCTACCATGGTAGGGAGGCCCCTAGTCTCCATTTTCATCACTGGCTTTCTCAGGGATGACTTCCAGGCTCCGGCGTGGCTTCTGGGCCTCAGAGTTTTCAGTTCCTGGTTTGTTCAGTCCACAAGAAACAGCTGCATAATGGATCTGCTTCAGATTCTCCAAGGTTTCATTCTTAGCATATTTCAAAAGATCCGCTTGTCCCTAGAACAAAATGAATTAGACAGCATTATTAAACAGCAGGCCACGCTGGACCTGGTGCACAGTCTGGAAACACAGCATCCCGAGTGTGCAAACGGGATATCTGGCTTCGCTGGTACCGCGTCTGCTGTGTTCTGGTTTCCACCCCGCGCTCCACGGGGCCTGCCCTTCAGCTCCTCCCACTTAAAACACGGCCACCTCTCTGGACTGTTTATATTAGACCTTCAGTGACTGCCGGACCACCTGGTTGTTCCTTTTAATGTTTAAAATCATTTTTATTCTGAAATAAACTGCCCTATAGATGTTTATTCTGGTGTGAGAATGTCCCTCCTGGAGGGGGCGGGGCCCCATCCCGGGAAGCGGAGTACGCTATGCAGTGTACTGGTTACCATTCTCACTGCTGTGACAAAAGCTACTCAAGGAAGCACGAGCCCCTTTGGACTCAGCAGTTCGAAGCCACCATCTACCGCCATGGGGGAGCTGTGGCGCATGACAAGCACGTGACAGGAGGTCACGTGGTCAGGAAGCAGCGAGCAGAGCGGAAGTCAGGCTGGACCGTGAGCCTCAAGCCAGCCTTCAGTCATCTCCTCCCCCCATCATCTCCCCCCAAGGCTGCACTCCAGCGGTCACCCAGCTCCAGAACGGTGCCACCAGCTAGGTGTCCTATGGGGGCATTTCACATTTAAACTATAACATACAAAGGACCCAACGGCTGGGGCAGTGTAGGTTGCTCCGTGGTAGCACTAGGCTGCCTGCAGATTTCAGAGAGGACCCTGGTGACACAGGCCTTGTGAGTGCATCGTGCTCCTCTAAGTAACGCCAACAGTCACTGGTTCATCCAATCGCACTCGGAATCATTCATTACCACCCTGTTTACCAGGGTGTGAGAGGATTGCCTCACGAGAAACCATGCAGTGGTACCAAACCACAGAGGCCCACACACAGTAGTGGGCGGCCCCACATGCTTGTCTCCAGACTCCCGGATGGTGACATCTCACGCAGCTGTAGTATAACATCAGAAGCAGGGCATGGCGTCTGTACAGTGTGCCCCTTAGCTGTATGCTACTTTATCCCATGCAGTTAAGACACAGGCCTAGCCCAGTGCTAGCTACAAAGACCTCTCCTAGGCTCCCCCATCCTCCCGACCGCAAACCCTCACCCTGACGCCCACTGCTGTGGGAGCACTGGCCTTTGGAGTGCAGTGCAGTTGGCCGCACAGCAGTCTCACCTTGAAGTCAGGTGGCCTCGCCACCCCCACCCCTGCGTCAATACTGTTATTACCACAGGGTTTTTCTCCTCGATGCAGCACTGGCTACTCTGGGTGTTTACACACAGTTTAGAATGGGCTTGTTGGTATCTGCAGAGTAAATGGCTGGGATTTGGATTGGGACTGTCCTGAATCTACAAGTTGACATCTTGCCAACACTGGGTCACATCTATGATGGCTAATGTTGGTCGTAACTTCACTACATCTGGAAATCAACTAAAACCAGATTCTGGGCACTCCCGTGAGGGATTTTCTTAATCAGATTACTTGAAACAGGAAGACCCACAATAAATCTGGGCCACACCTTCTGGGGGCAGGCCACAGGAAAGGATGGAAGAAGGGAACTTGACTTCCTGCTGGCTTGCCCTCACACTCAATCTACCCTGTTGCTGAGGCGTTCCTTCAGTGACAGGAGAGCTGGGTTCACTGGTATTCTGTCACCGATGGAAGACCAGCGGCTCTCCAGGAACCCTCCCAGATTGGGACTCTGCATTATTCAGTCCTTTTGGATTTCTTTGTCAGCATTCCATAGTTTCCCTCATAAAAGTTTAATATATATTTTTCTAAATGGATAGATACCTAGAGATTTTACTTTTGTGGGTGCTAAGGTAAATAGCAATGCATTCTTCAATTCAAATTCCCTTTCTTTGTTGGTTTATAAGAAATTAAGAAATTTGTGCATGCTGCAACGTTACAAAAAAAGCTAACTTTACAGCCTTACAGTTAGCATCAGTTGTCAGCGTCACACATCTGGGAAGAGGACATGTCTCCATCAGACTGGCTTATGGGCACGTTCGGGGCAGCTTTTCTGATTGCTAATTGAAGTAGCAGGTCCCAAGCTACTGTGGTTTGGGGAGAATGGTGGCCTTCGGGTGTAAAGCAAGCCGAGCAAGCCAGAGGAAGCAAGGCAGGAAGCAGCTATGGGTCTTGCAGCTCCTGCCCTAGCTTCCTGATGACAGGCTGTGACCCGTGAGCTGAAATACAACCTTCTTCTCCCAGGCGGCTTTCAGTCAAGGCATTGCTCATGTGTCTTAGTTACTTTTCTACTTCTGCAATAAAACACCACAAATGAAAGCAACTTGTATTTCATCACCCAGCGAAGTCAGGAGCTGACGCAGAGGCCATGGAGGGATGCTGCTTCCTTTTTGTTCTCCATGGCCTGCCGAGCTTGCTTTCATAGGGTATCCGGGATCACTTGCTCAGGAGTAGAAATGCCCACAGTAAGCTGGGGCCCTCCCACATCAAACACTAATCAAGAAAACGCTTCAAAGCCTCGTAATCTGGCGGGGCATTTCTCACTTCTCTCTTCCCAGATGACTCTAGTTTGTGTCGAGTTGAAATCAAAACTAACCCGGCCCACTGCACCTGCAAAGAGCAACTTGTGCCTTAGCTTTCAAATCAGGTTCTCAGGGCCACCCTCACTCCCAGGCTACACCCTGGTCTACTACCATAGTCCTCTAACCCTAGGACAGGACGTCTTCTTCAGGACAGTCGGAGAGATCCAACCATGACCCATTCATAACAAACCTTCTCTTAGCTGAAAACCCTTTAGTGGCTGCCCAGGTGCTGAGGATCAAAGTCCTTGTCTGTGGCCCTGTGACCTGCCTCCCAGCAGGCATTTTGTCCCCTCGTCCCCTGCCTTGCTCACTTAGCACCACTATTCTAGGCTACTCCACCCAGCAGGTCCTGTCCAAGCGGCCTTCCATGTGCAGACTGAACCAGGGCCCACTACTCACTCCCTGACCTGTCAGGTCCTCCTGACTCAGCAATTTCCCGTTTCAGTAATACTCACCCTGAGAGCTCCTTCCAAAACCAGAACAAAACCTGTCCACAGATCTCCTGTGCTACTTCTCAACACGTACTGCTACCTGACATTACTGTTTTTGGCTCTGTGGGTTTCCTGATGGCTGCTGGATCCTCTTAGCCTAGAACATTACCAGTTACATGGTAAGTGATCAGTAAGTATCTGTTGAGTGAATGTAAAATAAAAATACGCAGTTCTTCTCTACAATATTCTGTTTCGGTTTTGTCTTTCTCCAGTGTCTGGACCTATGATAAGTGACACTTGATTTTTAATGCACATAGGAATAAGAAATCTAGGCTTTGCTGCTCTTTGTTAGCATATATAGAACTACCACATGATGAAAGGAAATTTTAAAAAGAAAAGCCCCCAGAGGCATGGAATAATGTGTAACAACAGGGTTCTTGGTTACCTTTGTTTCCCAAACTTAGGTGGGCCATTATGGCATCTGAAACAGATCAATCAAGTGCCCAATCACTGTCCCTGAGGCAGCACAGGATCCCGGGGGGGGGGGGGGGGCTCACTGTCCCAGTGCTATTCTGTGTGAGTCTGAAATGAAGTCGCAAGCTGAGCTCCCAGTGGGAAAGGACAGGGAGGCGGAAGGAGGTGATGCTTACGAACAGTGAGCACAGAGCAGCGTGCACAGAGCAGCGTGCACAGGCAAGGACTCCAGGACATGGCTGCCACAGACAACAGGTGGCTAGTTTCTTAGGCTTCTGCAAGCTGGCTCTATAGTTCCAGATGAAAAACTCAAACTGCACTCAGTTTCAAAGCCCATTTTGAATTTTGTAACTCACTCTACTTGGTTTTCATCTCAAAAGAACTCCAATACATTTAGGCCAAAACGCTGAAGGTCCTCACTTTGGCACAGAGTCACCTTTAAAGATGCTGCTACAAGAATCCTACCAGACTCCAGTGGTGAACTACAACCAGGTCTTAAACTCTTCAAAAACAGAAATGCAGGAGGATTACCCCAAGATCATCATAGGAAGCCAGCAGTATCTAATACACAAACTAGGGAAAGTCACAATGAAGAAAACCACAGACTGCGTCCCTAGTGAACACAGATACAAAAATCTTCAATAACATACTAGTTAATAATATAGAGGAGATGCCTGCAAACGACAGGGCGTGAGAAACCTTGAAACCTTCTCAGCTTTGCTATGAACTTAAAAATGCAATAGAAAAGTAAAAGACCCTTTAAAAATGTAGGGGCTGTTTAAAGTTTTCTTTACATTTTTATAAAAGGTTTATTTTTATGTGTTATGTATTTGTGTGCCATGTCTGTGCAGTGCCTGAGGAGGCGAGAAGGGGGTGTTTGACCACCTGAACTGAAATTACAGATGTTTGTGAGCTGCTATGTGGGTGCTAAGACTCAAAATCAGGTCTCCCGGAAGAGTGCTCAGTGCTGAGCAACTGCTCTAGCCCTTAGGACTTTTCTTTCAGAAACTGCTCAGAAGGGCTTTGGACTGGAAGTCTGAAACCACAAAGCCTCTGTTGTGTCAGAGACAAAACAGCAAAGCCTTCTGGGAACACTAGCCACCGTTTACTGAATGAATGCCTGTGTCAGCCTTGTAGAGGACATGTCTCATGTCCGTGGAGACTCTGCTGCTCCTATCTCATAGCAAAGAGGCTGAACTCAGACAAACTGGGTACTTTCGCCAATGCAGAATCTGAACAGCAAATTGCACTGAAATACACTTCGATTTCTATGTGTATCTCATGTTCCTCTCAAGTAAATGTGAGCCCCAGATAAAGGCAGCTGGACCTCACCAACCACTGAGTAAATGAGATAGAATTCCCACCATTCCACTGTATTCAGCATCTTGACACACTTCCCGTGACTTAAACACTGAAGCGGAAATAGAGGCTTCCAGCTCGCGTGCTTGAATGAACGATGAGTGATAAAATGTGGGGAAGCAGGTCATGCCCCCA